AAAAAAAAAAAAAAGTTTGGGAATTTCTGGCAATAAGTCAGCTGATAAGTCTTCTCTTCAAGACCAGGATAAACAGCAGATAAGTTTCTTCGTAATACGTTTCTCTGAGAAGTGTTCTGATCAGCTTGTCACAACAGCCGTACTAGAAGTTCTCGAATTCCAATTCCTGATGGTTTTGGGATCTCTCCTACTGTCACTGCAGCTTTGTAAGATCCTCATGGAATTTGTGACATTTAGGATTTTGTCAGGACACCTTGAATCTGTTTTACATTACCCATGGCAGCAGTGTTTGCTTTCTAACATTATTTATTAAGCTGACCAAAAACCTAGACCACCAATCTTTCCTTTTTTGCCTAATTTTCTGGTCTAGAAGGCAACACACTCATATAAAACCTTCTACCAGACTGTAATTCTTGTCTAAGTCATATAGGGGGTCTTCTGGTGATGTAATCTATTTTTAGAAACTGTGCGGGATGCTATTCCAGTTGACCAGCAGGACAACTTTTCTAACCTAGGTTCACATGCGACAAGCTTCCCATATCAAGGAGGCTCAACAGGATTTACAGGGGTGTAGTTGTGGTTTACTTGCAAAATGATGCACAAGGTGTCACAAAATGGATTTAGATTTTTCAAGGTTGCATAAATGTGCAACTTTGAAATCCAGACCCCAGACGTGTAGTCCTGAATACAAATTATGTTTGTTTAATAGTCCCAATATTTTTATACTTAGCATATTTACCAATTTGGTCTGTGTTAAGAAGAAATTACCATGAAAAATAGCTACATGTATTTTGCTCTGACCATGTGAAACCTTACTATTTGAGCAGATGGCAAAGCATGTGGGCTTGATCCCATCATTAGATGGTGGATTGTATCAAGTCAATGGAGACAAAGTTGAGGTAAGCTGAAAGAAAGGTTTAATGAGAATGGACTCTTACTAGGTAACATAATTTGAGCTCTAGTTATGTATATGATCTTATGATCAATGGACATGGTAAATGTGAGACACAGGTAAAAGTTATGTAAATTTAAGCAGTAGATCAGTAGATCTCTTTGTTCAATATTTTTTGCATGTCTTTTTCCATCAGCCAGGAAATGATAAGTGCAAATAATGTTCCTGTTATTAATAATAATGTCCTGTTAACCAAGGTCAAAGGTTGTACTGGAAAAATACTACCCCAAGGACTAGGCACCATTAACCTCATCTTGTTTTGTGCATATATGTATACAAAACAAAAAATGCAAACATTTTTGACGTGTAACATGCAAAGCTAGTACAAAGAGTAAGCAATGTTAGACTGTCTGAGTAGGGCTAGTATTACCAAAGCAGAATAAAAAAGTCCATGTAGCCTGACAGAGGCTATCTTTGCAGGCTGTATGTGTGCACATAAACAGGTTAGATGTATTGTGCAAGTCAGGTGCAAACAAAAACCAAAATGCACAAGTGTTAGGGAAGGTGTGTAACTGCATCAAAATGCACATGTTACATCATTAGTTACTCCCTTTAGACAAGTCATGGTACTGTGTGATAAAAATACAATATTTTATGTGGAAGATTCTTGCAGGTGATATGATTTCAAAGTTATGCCTTGTACTCATTAACATACTTGATAAAAGAGAAAGGGAAAAGTAAACAACAGAAGATTTATTTAATAGACTAATTTTGTTTGATAGCAGTGTTAGAGAGATTAATGTGTTGTTGTTAATACCTTTAGCCTATCCCCTTCACTGCTGACACACTTCTCGGCTCATTCTTCAAGCTGCCTGATGGTTCAATTTTAGTTGGTGGCAAACAAGCCACTACTTGTGGTCTTAATCCATACTCTGGAAAGGTCAGTTACATTTTTGGTATCCAATTATTTTAGGCAATTCAAGTGATTATGGTAAAATTGTAGGTTTATGGTCATGATGATTGCATTTTGAGCTATATCACATTTTCAAAAGTTATACACAAGATTATGGGCCAAGATGTTTATAAACAAGTATCAGGCATGGTAAAACCATTGTTTGTAATTCATTTTGTTTAAAATAAAACAACTTAAGGTAAAACAACTTTATTATTATGACTCGCATATTTATAATTTTACAGAAATATATACACATTAAGTTAAAAAAAGCTTGACAATAGTAACAGTGCGAACCCGCAGATAGCCTGGGCTAATCTAGGCGGGCCACATGTATATTTATATGAAAACAGAATGTTTTAGTCTGGGTAATTGAAGCTGTTTATACGTGCATTTCTTAAACAACTTATTAAACTCCTTAAATGTGACATGCAGCACCATGAGAAACGCTGGTTAGAGAATTACCATTCGGGTATTGAGTTTTACCATAGATATTTTGGCAATACCTTTGCTTTGTTTAATAGCAAACCGGATGCTTTATCTTTCTATAGTTATATCAACACCCAGCACCCTAACATTAAGTGTACCATGGAGAGAGAAGAAAACTACAGGCTCCCCTTCTTAGATGTTCTTTTAGATAACACTAGCAATCATTATCACCTAGGTGTTTCATAAGAAGACCTACACTGGTCCACTCACTAACTCTTATAGTTTTGTACCTTTCAGTTACAAATCAGGATTCGTGCGCACTCTGGTAGACCGAACGTTTAAAATCAACAATACTTGGGCTGGCTTTCATCTGGATATAAATAAAACTTACCAAAACATTAAGGAGGAATTTGTTCCTTTCTAACGTAATTGAGAATGTTGTTAGAAAATTTCTCAACCATCATTTCACCTCCGATTCCTCTCAGGGTGCT